TATTCTATTCTATTCTATTCTATTCTATTCTATTCTATTCTATTCTATTCTATTCTATTCTATTCTATTCTATTCCTGCCTTTCCTATTTTTACAAATAACTCAAGATGGAAGAACATATCCAACACATCTTCCTCCTCCCATTTTCCCCATAACAACAACCCAGTGAGATGAATTGGGCAAGAGGGAGTAACTGGCCCAAGGTCATCCAACTGGCTTTCATGGCTAAGGCATCACACACTCCTGCCTTCTAGTCTGGCGCCTTAACCACTAGACCAAACAGGCTCTCGAGGTATCATTGGGTGTTTTCTCTATATAAAAATACAAAGAGGTATGTGGGTACATCTGTCTATTGTAAATCATAGTTTATATACCCAATAGCATTAAATGACAAATTTTAAAAAATCTTTGTGCATTAAAATATAGGTGTTACTTGATTGTTCATGACACAGAAGTAATTAAGAGTCACTGGAACTCTTATTTGCTCCAGATTCTTTTCAAACCCATCCTAATGTTTTTTCAATAAAATGTTGCTTTGAATATTTGTTAAAATGCAGCAGTCATCATCCTTGGTCACCATGGCTTATCTATGGAAAGATGATTCTGAACTCCCATTGATGAGTGGCTACACAGTTATCTTGGAATTTGGGTTTTACTTGTAGGAGTTGCTAATACACTCACTAGAGAAATACATCAAAAGGGGCAAGACATTCTAAATATTCTTGAGGATTCCAAGAGATAAAGAGCCTCCAAATTCTGAAAATCATACAGAACATTTGATGTACTGTAAATAAATAACCAAGTGCTAAAAAGTATTGATGTAGAAATTCAAGAAAAGGAAAGGATAAAGTACAGAAAGGGGGAACATTAGAGGCATGTAATTATTTGTTCTGCTACATTCACTAGGAATTACCTTCAGAGAAGTATGAATCAGACTTCAGTTCTTAACATTGAACAAGACCCCTAGGAAAGTCAAGGATAGCTTGAGAAAAGCTAACTAGGTAACCTCTATACTATTCAGTGGTTTGTAGAGCCCAAATAGACTGACAAAGAAGCCCAGATGTTGAGATTTTGGAAAAAGTGCAAAGAAGAGCAACTAAGATGATTAAAGGCTGGAAACAAAAACACACGAAGAACAGTTGCAGGATTTGGGTTTGAGAAGTCTAGAGAAAAAAAAGACTAGTGGGGACATGAAAGTCGTATTCCAGCTTTTGAGAGGTTGCCACAAAGAGAAGGGAGTCAACTTATTTTCCAGAGCACCAGAGAGCAAGACAAGAAACAATGGATGGAAACTAATCAAGGATAGAAGCAACCTGGAATTAAGGAGAAACTTCCTAACAGTGAGAACAATTAACCAGTGGAACAGCTTGCTGTCAAAAGTTGTGGGTGCTTCATCACTGACAGTTTTTAAGAAGAGACTGGACAAGTCACGTTTGGAATGATATAGGGTCTCCTGCTTGAGCAGGAGGTTGGAATAGAAGATCTCAAAGATCCTTGCAAGCTCTATTCAGATTAAATATTAGGTAGGATTGAAGCTGCAGAGCTCAAAGAATGCCAGAAAAAAAATAAAATAAAGAGCTCTTTGGCTCTATATTCCCAATGCAATCAACATCAGCTTTATGCAGCTCCTCCATCCAAATGGAAGCTCCATAGGTGGCATAATTAATTTTATAACTCAAATAGAAAATAGAATGGGTTAAAACAGTTCCAGAATTTTTAAAGCTATAGTTCTGTTGCCATTGGTGAGGTGCGAGCAAGGGTGAATGCAGCCAGGATGCTTTGGCAAGAACTCACCAGTATGTTATGTGACAGACAAATGCCGACCCATCTTAAATCTAAAGTTTACAAGACAACCATCTACCGTGTTGTACTATATGGCACTGAATTCTGGGCAGGAACAATGGGGACTGACAGCTATCTTCCATTCCATGGAAATGCGAATAATCCGTTGGATATTGGGCATCTCCCTTCTTGACCACATCACAAATGACACCATTTGACAACATTTTGGTGTGGCACCAAATATAGAGAAGATGAGAGAAGGCTGACTTTGCCGGTATGGACATGTCCAGAGAGCAGCACCATGGACTAGAAGTCAATGGCTGGCAACCTCACAGGCATCCAAAACAGAGATGGCAAGGCAACATCAACAAAGATATGCAAGCCATGGGCCTGCGCCCTGGAGATGCAGCTGTCCATGTAAAGTGTCATTCAATGATCCGAAAAGTGGACCCAGCACCTGCAGGAATACTCTAGGAAGAAGAAGATAGTCATGTTGCCACTAGACATAGGCAGGTTGTTGCTAATACAACAAACTATAATACCAGCCCCATGCTTGAAATGGCCATTGACTTCTAGTCCACGATGGATGGTGCTGCTCTCTGGACATGTCCATACCAGTGTCCAGAGGACATTCCAACTAATATTGTTTAGAGTAAAATTCTGCGGAATGCCAGCCTCCAGACTTCCACCCCACACCCAAGTAATGCTCTAAAGAAGATTCCACAATAGGTTACCATCTTCTTACAGAGCAGAGGAAATCGCACCTGTCCAATTCAAGAAATATGTAAAGCAAAGCCCATCAGTAGGGAATCAGACAATTAGGGCAAGAGTGTTCAGCTTATTATCAGAGTCTATGGTGCACTCCCTCTACTGGAAACGTAAGCCAAAACACTCTGACCAGAAAACATCATGATATCTTAAGAAGCGGCTCAACCAGAGGAGAACAGTGTTTTTCTAATGGAGCATGTAGTTGTCTTGGAGGTGTGTCAGAAGATAAGAACGGAGTTTCAAGTTTCCCTGAATCAATGCCCAGTGTGGGAAGTGGGTTGTGACTGCTCTTTTGGCAACAAAGGGTGTTTATATGATAAGAGATACCATAACAATCAAGCCTATGGTGACACATTCTTACCGCATATTGTATCCAATTAGGAGCAAGAAGGGAGCAGATATGGAGGGCAAGCACTTTTTCAAGCAAGCAAAATTAGCGAACTACTTCTTGGTCAGGCAAAAGATTAGCTAGTCTATAAACAGAACTTGCTTTGCTTCTCCGGAATAAACACAACAGCACTTGAGAATCAAGGCATAGAGATTCATTCCCTGGGATACGAAAGAGAGAAAATACAGTCCCCAGACAGAGACATTAAGATCAAAGCATCATCTGTGCAGCAACATCAACAAGGATGTTTCAGTGCTTACAAAGCAGGAACAAGGCAGGAGCGCTCAGGATGGACCAGCAGGAGAATATTTTTTGAACAATTGTTTTCTTGTCTTTTTTTTTTAATCCCTCAGAATAAAATAAAATAAAAGCTTTCAATTAAAATGGGTAATGGAAATCCTGGGTCAAGATGTCTCATCGGATTGTTTTCCACGATACAGACAATCTAAATTCTCTTAGCACTGTATTACTAAAATATAGCTCTACATCCAGTAACCAGCTGAGGCTGTTCATTTTTTAAAGCAGTTCATACAAACCCTAATAATTGAACCAATAATGAAATGGCCGAGGAGACTTTCTAAATAGAACAAATTGAACTCCTGAATTTGAAGGGAAATGGAAAGAGGTCACAATCTCTTTGGGATTCCTCCATAAACCTCAGTGAAAATGGGAAGCTTCCCAAAGTATTACGTGTTACTCATAATAATATTAATACCATAGTTAATAATTGGAGACATACAGCAAGATAAACACATAAGAGCAAATGTTGTATCTATATTATTTTGATAAAACACACAACATTCTGGAAATTGGGTCAAACAACATCAATATCTTCATATTGCAGATGGCAGAGTGGTTTATTTAAGACCATATTATGATTTCATGGTTCAAGTAGCATTTGAAGTGGACACTTCCAGTTTCCCTGGGTCCCTGTAGCTATGGTACTTTATGGTAAGGAGGAAGGACAGTCCTTCTTTTGTAAGTTCTGTCCTCTCTCGAAAAGTGTCCTCCTACGTGTCCTTCTTTTTGATATTTGAAGACTAATCTGTAAATCTCTGTATTTGATCGATGCTGATCCAATCCATTGTGTGTGATGTGACGTATTTCTATTTGACATGGCGATCCATCAAGGCTTGGTACAGTGTGGCGAGACGCGATTATGAGATGCATGCGCTCCACACAGGAGAATTGTTTTGAGAGAGTGTGCCGTGTGCAAGAGTGCACCATGAGCAAGAGTGCATCGCATGCAAAAGTACGCTGCATGCAAGAGTACGCTGCACGCAAGAGTGGCTTTGTTTCTTTTCTTCAGTTTATTTGTGTCCTCCTTCTCATTGTAAAAAAGTTGGTCACCTTATTTATGGCATAAATTCTCTTCATTTCATGAAAGTAGATTTGTGATAGTACAGAGTACAGACACTGCCTCGAACAAAACTTTGGGGAGCAGTGGTGCTATTCTACTGGTTCAGCCCAGTTCTGCCAAGCCGGTAGAGGAGATGAGCACAGAGACTGAACTGGTTCTCTCTGACACTGATGCTGTAGGTCCCACCCACCTGCCTGGTCTCCCATACTAACCTTTATGTCCTGTTTTTGAAGAGCAGCTGCTTTGTGCAGCAAGCAGATTGCTGCACGGCAGCTGCTGAAGCGACAGGGAGAGCACAGGATTGCATGAGGCGAGTTGGAAAGCCTTTGCACCTGCGCAAAATATGCGTTTGGTGCGCATGTGCAAAGTGTACCAAGCCACACCCACTGAACCAGTGGTAAAATTTTTTTGAAGCACACCACTGTTGTGGAGTCAAAACATGGACAGTTTGTAAGGAAAAGGAATGAGTTGAACAAGACAATGGCTTCAGGAGTGGAACATATTCCCTAATGTTCTTCTAGATAGTTTATATATTTGTTTATGGTATACCATGAAGCAAATGTGGGATTTTCCTCTGTTAGGAAGAATGCAGCAGTTTAATCAATTAGCAGGATGTTCTGAGCTTTTCCAAATATTCCTTCCTCAGGGGAAACGAACCGTGCTTGCCTCATAATGTCTTTTGATCCTCCCAAATTACCTTTCCTCAGAGATGGAATGAAGGAATCATGGTCAATAGTGAGAAAAAAACCCCAGCTCTCAAGCCAAGCTTGGTTGTCTCATCCTGCTGTTTGAAGAAGAGAAGGGTGCCTCAAGTTGTCCTTTAGACAGCAACATCTCTTGACTCAACTCCAGCAAAAATGGAGCAGTTTGAAGAAAAGGT